AAAAAAACTTTTGAAGTGATAATCAAGATAACCTGTCTGTACTGGGCTGATAAGAAGTGTGAGAATACTTACAAGGGGAGATAGATTCAATGTTTGTAATGGCTCAGCCATTCCCAGTCCTTATTCAAGCCTAAGTTGATTGTATCTAGTTTGCATATCAATTCCAGCTCAGCAGTCTCTCGTTGGAGTCTGTTTTTGAAGCTTTTCTGTTGTAAAATAGCCACCCGCAGGTCTGTCATTATAGACTCATAGACTTTAAGGTCAGAAGGGACCATTATGGTCATCTAGTCTGACCTCCCGCATGATGCAGGCCACATAAGCTGACCCACCCACTTTCCCTTAACTCAGCTGTTGAAGTCTCCAGATCGTGATTTAAAGACTTCAAGTCGCAGAGAATCCTCCAGCTTGCGATCCCTGCCCTATGCTGCGGAGGAAGGCGAAAAACCTCCAGGGCCTCTGCCAATCTACCCTGGAGGAAAATTCCTTCCCGATCCCAAATATGGCGATCAGTAGAACCCCGAGCATATAGGCAAGATTCTCCAGCCGGATCCTCATTTTACCAGTGATGGCACATTATTGCCTAATTGACTAAAATCACGTTATCCCCTCAAACCATTCCCTCCATAAACTTATCTAGCCTAATCTTGAAGCCAGACAGGTCTTTTGCCCCACCGTTTCCCTCGGAAGGCTGTTCCAAAATTTCACCCCTCTGATGGTTAGAAACCTTCGTCTAATTTCAAGCCTAAACTTCCCCACGGCCAGTTTATATCCATTTGTTCTCGTGTCCACATTAGTACTGAGCTGGAATAATTCCTCTCCCTCCCTGGTATTTATCCCTCTGATATATTTAAAGAGAGTGATCATATCCCCCCTCAGCCTTCTTTTGGTTAGGCTAAACAAACCGAGCTCCTGAATGAGTGGTCATTGAATGACCAGACAGGTTAAAGTGTTCTCCCACTGGTTTTTGAGTATTATGATTCCTGATGTCAGATTTGTGTCCATTAATTCTTTTGCGTAGAGACTGTCCGGTTTGGCCAATGTACATGGCAGAGGGGCATTGCTGGCACATGATGGCATACATCACATTGGTAGATGTGCAGGTGAACAAGCCCCTGATGTTATGGCTGATGTGATTAGGTCCTATGATGATGTCACTTGAATAGATATGTGGACAGAGTTGGCATCGGGCTTTGTTGCAAGGATAGGTTCCTGGGTCAGTGTTTTTGTTCAGTGATGTGTGGTTGCTGGTGAGTATTTGCTTCAGGTTGGGGGGTTGTCTGTAAGCGAGGACAGGTCTGTCTCCCAAGATCTGTGAGAGTGAGGGATCATCTTTCAGGATAGGTTGTAGATCTTTGATGATGCGCTGGAGAGGTTTTAGTTGGGGGCTGAAGGTAGCGGCTAGTGGCGTTCTGTTATTTTCTTTGTTGGGCCTGTCTTGTAGGAGGTGACTTCTGGGTACTCGTCTGGCTCTGTCAATCTGTTTTTTTCACTTCAGCAGGTGGGTATTGTAGTTTTAAGAATGCTTGATAGAGATCTTGTAGGTGCTTGTCTCTGTCTGAGGGATTGGAGCAAATGTGGTTGTATCTTGGAGCTTGGCTGTAGACAATGGATCGTGTGGTGTGTCCTGGATGGATGGAAGCTGGAGGCATGTAGGTAAGTATAGCGGTCAGTAGGTTTACGGTATAGGGTGGTATTTATGTGACCATGGCTTATTAGTTCCAGGAAGGTGGCTTTGCACATCCAAAAGTTCTGCAGTTACTGCTTGTCATCCCAGACCTGCATAACGATGCAATCCCACCACTCGGTGCTAGTTTCTCGCACCCAGGACCAATGGTCCACTGTGTGCAGCTGCTCTGTGAATGCCAAAATCAACCTTGAATTGTTTCTGTCCATGTCACACAGCAGGGCAGACACCACGGTGTCGTCATCAGATTCCCAACTCATGAAAGAAATACTGCATATTGTGTTCATCACGCTCATCACAAGACTGGAGAGCAGGCAGATCCATGCTTTCTGCTAGAGATGGCAGCGCAGTTTACAGGGTCTGTTGAAAAGCAGCATGAAATGTACTAGGAAGCCCATGGAATGATGGGACAGAGAAAACTGCATCATGGGATGCTCAGCCTGCCCAGAGGAGGCTTTGCAAACCCTTCCCAGAACACCCAGTGGCAGATGGTCATGAGTTGCACAGTGGGATTGCTATCCACAGTTCACCCGTCTCTGCTGATGCAAGAGCACCTACTGTGGACGCGCTCTGCTGACACCAGTTTTAATTACAGCGGTGGATGAAAGTCAACTTAACTCTGTAGTGTAGACATGGCCTAACTGTTCTCACTTCTACCACTGACCCACACCTTCATCAATGCATTGCAGTCTGCTTAATACAGACATCCACTCCTTGTGGCCTCATGTTGACTCTATAGTTTTCTATCTTTTGTGTCTGTTTAAATTGTTTATCATCTTTGAAAGTGGATTAAGCTAATTCAGAATAAGGCACTCTTATTCCAGAATAAGTGTGACCACATATGGAGTTAATCAGGCATAGCTAATCCACTTTAAATTCACAGCCTACCTTATTCCAGACTCATTTTTGTGTGCCAATAAATCCTTAGGCCCAGCTTTTTAAAGATAATTAGGCATTGCGGTACTCACTCTAACTGATTTAGCAGATTAAATTTCATTTACAAAAGGGATTTAGTCACTTAGGAGCCCAAATCTCATTGAAGTCAATGGGAGGCTTTCCATTGGCTGTAGTGGGAGATAGATAAGGCCACAGACTAGAGGTGCACAACCCTTTCCGTGATGCGTCCTGTTCGTTGGCTCCTTTGAGCCATAACTGCATGTACAGACCGGCTTGGGCATGTCAACATTTGCAGCTTTCTCCATTCTGTGAGGCTTGCAGAATTTTTAAAGACTCACTCCCACAAAATATGCACTGGGGAATGCTCTGGTTCTCTTCTCCAGGCCCTTGCCCACCTTTCTCATAAATCCCCTCCCGCACAGACTTTGAAGCAGCTGTTCACCTAGTGATGAGGGCAGACCATGCAAAAGCTAGTGGTTAAGATGCTGGACCAGAGCTCTGGGTTCCGTTCCCAGCTCCTCTACTGACTTTCTGAGCAGCGTTGGGCAAGTTGCTTAGTCTTTCTCTGCCTCAGTTTCCCACCTGTAAAAGGAGGATAATAGCTCTGCTTTTCTCCTCCACCTTTTGTCTACTTAGAGCAAGGATTGTCTCTTGCTGCCTTAATACAGTGTCCGGTGCAGTGGAGCCCTGAGCTCAATTGCAACTTGATGCTATTGCAACTATAGATACCTAATAAAGTCATTAAAGTTCCCGTGCAATGAATCAGCTTTGTTATTAACGGGGGTGGGGATGGGGGGGGATTTGAAGAGCATTGGCATGGTGGTGTCTAAGCCCTAAATACGATGGTTTAGATTTACGTGGCATTGTCCTATTAATTGTAGTGCTTTGCTTCTCCTGAGATCTGGGAAACTGCTTCCTTACCCCTTTTCCTCACTGCAACTTTCTTGTAATGAAAAGGCTGCTAAAAACCTGCCCTATACTCTTTTATGCAGTGGTAGCATGAATGTCGTATGTCAAACCAAACGCGAGTGCCTCTTTATGTTGCATTCGGTCTGTAAGTTACTTTAAAATCTATTTCCAATCATTTTCACAGTGGCATGTCTTGAGCCAGAGTGGGGAATATTCAGCTGATGCATTTCATTGCAACCTGTGCAAGGGTTTTGCTTTCTGCGGGATGCTTTCTGCGCTGCTCTAGGATATGGCAGCGCAGGGGTGAGCTGCTCAGCTGGTATGGATTGGTAGAGCTCTGGTGACTTCAGTGGAGCTGTGACAATATACAGGATCTGCTCCAAGGTATTGAAACAGGAGCATCTACATTCCAGTGACAATAGAAGGGGGAAGATAGTTCGGGACCTGGCCCAAAGGGGCAGCAAGTGGTGTAGGGATATGGATAATACATTGCCCTTCTACAGCTGTCTTCAGCTAAGGGTCTGTCTGCACTTTGCAGTCATTAATTGTGCCTGGTGCTGTGCCTAAGAGGTTGGTCACTATTTTCACCCCATTTACAGATGGTGAGATTGAGGTACAAAGAATGGAAATGGTCACCCAGCGCTGGGGCTGGGACTAGAACGGGTCACCCAGGAATGGGACTAGAACGGGTCACCCAGCGCTGGGGCTGGGACTAGAACGGG